GGTATGAAGTAAATAGATCGATAGTTCACGGTGTGCTTAGCGTGAAGAGGAATTTTTAATATATTCCTTCTAATAAAAAAATGAATTCACGTGGAAATTACATTTTTCGAATTTTAGTAAATAACAGATGAAAGCGTTGTAAAAATAAGTCTAACGTACAAAATTTAAAAGAATGTTTCTTTATGAAGATTCAAAGCACGTTTCGATTTATTGGATCCTTGTGGATAATAAACAAAAGCATAGAATTCGTATTTAGAAAATAAATCCAATTTACAAAAATTTTCAAATCCAATATTTCAACCCTTTTTTCGAAAAAAAAAAGATTCAGGAAGTGCTTAAACAATTAATTCGTGGGAATTTAAATTTTTCGAATTTTCGTGAACGGTAGACAAAAACGTAAATTAATATTTGGAAAAGTAAGTCCAATTTTGCAAAATTTTCAAATCTAATATTCCACCTTTGGAAAAAGAAAAAATTTAACAGGTGCTTGAATGAAATTCACCGCCATTTAAGGTCCATTCAAGCGAGCGCCATTTCTCCCTTTTATCCTGCGAAACTAAATCGGAGCAACGAGTCCCAGAGGAGTGAATTCTCAAGATCTTCGTTCGAGACGGAACGCGTGTATGTTTGCGAATGATGAGAAAGCTAACAGAGAACAGAAGAAGAGGAGAAGAAGAGGAGAAAAAAATTTAGAGAAAAGATGTAAGAATTCCAAAATTCAAAATGGAGAACGCTGGAGAACGCTGGAGATGAGATAGAAAATGATGGATATACAGATATATAGATATAGAGATAGACAGATAGAAAGAGAGAGAGAGAGAGAAAAAGAAAGAGAGAGAGAATAAATGATCGATCATGGCGTTGTACGGCGCGTGTTTCGAGCGGTAAAAGCGAACGAGCCGACTAAATAACGAGGAGTTCTTGTAAGGAGGCCAGATCGACGAAGCGAAACCGATCTGGATACGGACAGACAGAGTCAGACAGAGATAGACAGAGCGATAGAGTAGACATGTGAGTGAGAAGGAGGGAGAAAAAAAGCGATGGAGAACGTGCTACCTCGTACCTGGAGCGATCGCGAGGAGAAAGAATCGTGTGTTTCGCGTGTATACGTAAATATACATACAGGTGGCGATATGTACAGGTGTATATGTGTGTGAATTCTATAAAGCTGAAAAGTCATTGGGTGCCAGAGTCGATTTCGAGGGAATAAATTATGACCTATCAAACCGTGGAACGATCTTTTTTGGGCTGAAATTAAACTCTCAAGTTTGCCTCTCAATTTTACCACTTTTTTCTAATTGAGGTTGGAATTGGCGATCTCTTTTGAAAAGAAACAGTACTGCAGTTTTCTGCAGTTTTCTGCAGTACTGACATTTTCTCGATTTTTTAATAAGAGGGATATTGTATATTCGTTGCTTATTTTTAATTTATTAGAAATTTCATTTTTGTTCAACTTTTATTCTTTTTTTTTTCTCAGTGTTCCACATTTCTCCTCTTGTACAATTTAATTCCTCGAGACTTTTCGATGTCTATTCATATTTCATTTAGAATTTAATTTTCCTCCGCTCTTCTGTTCAACATTTTCCTCTTCTATTTCAATTTTAATAATGCTGTTGCTGATATCGCTACTTCTCTTATTTTCCACTCCTCTTTCAACATTTAATCCCTTCGAAAATGACAGCGTAAACGCCGATACGGGTGATTCTTTATATCCTCTGACTATTTTCATTTTACAATTTTCACATTTCTTTCTCAGTGTTCAACATTTCCTTTTGAATTCTCATTAAATCTCCTACATTCTCTGCTATCTTCTATTTCTCTGAAATTTAATACCTCCTCTGATCTTCCGTTCCCTCTTTCAATACTTAATTCCTTCGAAATGACAGTGGCACGTTGCAATCAAACAAGCGAACTATCCAGATGGAAAAAGCGCGTATTTTCACGGCGGTTAGTCGCGCAAGGTGAACACCAGAGAGAGAGAGAGACAGATAGAGAATTGCGTGAACCTGGCAGGAAGAGGGCCTCGATGGGCTCGAGAAAACTGGGTTAGAACGCGCTCGAGCACGAGCTTCTCGTCTCCTGGCTGCACTTTCGCTCAAAATCGAAACCAGTCTCTCCCCGACGAATCGAAAGAGGACGTTTGTCGGGGGAGAAGGGGCTGGAGATTAAAACAGCGCCTTGAAAGTGGACGTGTGTATAACTTGTATGTTGTTGCATTTCCACTTCACGTTTATATGCATGTAAGATGTTCATCGAACGTTTTTTCGAACCGTTCGCGTAACTTCTCAGATATACTGTACCGACGGAAAAACTATCGAGAACTCGCGAGTGGATCGCTGTTTTACGTGACTTTAGAAAGTACTGGAAATTCAATTTTATGATTTACATAGGTAATTTTATCCGTTCGAATTTTCCTACCGATTAACCCTTTGAGATATGGGCAATTTTTCTTTCATTTTCATTTACAAGTCAAAATTCAACCGAGTTTGGTTATTCGAAATTTTTACGGGTCAATTTAAAATTTAAAGGGCCAAAAGTGTAAATAGGAAGGAAATAGAATTTAACCCTTTGAAGCATGAGAAATCGTTCCTTGATTTTCATTTAGAAATCAATATTTGAAAAACAGAAAATATCAGTGAATTTGTGTAAAATTTTCGTGTATGATTAATTTAAAAGTGTGAGTGAGCGTCCAGTGTAAATTGAACAACATCCAGAGCCGTTACGCACTGTCGACCAGTCACCGGCGACTTGCTCGATGACAGACCAAAAATCAGGCGACCAAACTTTGTCGCCGCGATTACTTATTAAGTGTATATTAAATTATTAATTATCATTATTAAGCATTACACTTATTACACTGTATTCTCGACATACACTATTAGAATCTGAAGTAAAAATGTGTGAAAGAAGTGAAATTGACTTGTACTATGATAATCATAAGCAAAGGACAGCAATGTAGAATATATTAGCGTACTTATACCGTTTGACCAAAATTTCACTTATACTCTTTTGCCCGAATGTAAGAGATATATTTTCTCTTGAACCTACCAGGTCGCTGGCGACTGATCGACAAGTGCACAACAGCTCCAATCATTTTCTGACGACTGACAGACAGATATTTGGTAACACATTCTTGTATGTTCGGTTTCGTTTGGAGACGAGAAGTTTCGTGGATGAATCTCGATAGTGCGTGAGGGTATAACGGTGCGTTAGTACTACCTTACGAATTGTGCGTGCTACGTTGCGAGTCTACGAAGGAGCCGGCCTTCTCCGTCTTTTCTTTTCAACATTTTTCGTCATCCTTAAGAAAAGGACGAAGGAAAACGTTCTTTGACCAATGTTCTTTCCACGAGAAACTGCGTTTAGTGAATTCTCAATTAGCGAAGGAAAAAGTTGCTTCCAGTTGCTTGTAATGTAGCAAATAAATCGAACAAAAAGTTGAAAAAATATATTTACCAAAGAAATGCAATATTCTGGAAGAAATGCTCTCAGAAAAATAGAAACTTTTTTAAGAAACAGAAGAGAAAGAATTGCACTGTTCGGGTTAGACGTTTGGAACCACTGTGCATTGCAAGCTGGGCAATTACAAAAGTTACCTAAGTCGCAGAAATATTGTTCTTTATGAGATATTTCAATTTTTTAAATGCACTTTTTGATACTTTCACTATCGACTTTATTCAATCGTTCAATTTCCAACTATTTTGCAGAAATTAATCCACATTACTGTGATATAATATTATTACTGTAACGTAATATCGTTACTCAAATCTATGAAAACGAAGGAAATTACTGTTAAAAATTTTCTAAAAAATTCGTAGCAGGTTCGATATAAATTGCTGTAAATTGCCAAGTGGTCTCAAACTTTGGCCAGTGCTTCTTCCAAAAAACGAAACAAATAAAAATTCATTGAAAATTCTATCTTATCCCAGTAGAATGGAATTGAAAAAACGAGTAAACGCATCATTCTCGAGGGAAGAGTGCACAGGTAAGCGGAGATAGGTGTACAAACCGGCTGAACCTGGTCGATACATCGACTTACTCTCGAGCTTGTCACAGTTGGTGACTTTGCCCTTCCAGTCGCAGGTCTGTTTGTCCAAGTCAAAGGCCAGTCCGCTGGGGCACGTGATTTGCTTCAGGCCGGATTTCGTGCACCTGTTCGTGTCAGAAAGCAAAACGGGACGGGGTTTAGTCACATACGTATCGATAGAACATGCTTACTCTCCAGTTGATCGCAGTTCTTCACGTTTGTCTTCCAGTCACATGTTTGTCGCTCGATGTCAAAAGCCAGACCAGTCGGGCATCGCACAGTAGCCAACCTGGTCACGCCAATCTCGCTCGCTTTGTCGCATCTGTTATCAAGTTTTTCACCATTTTTTTCTATCGTTTCGAATAATCATTCCCATATATATTTTTTTCTTTTTATTGAATTACATCGACCGATTTCAATTTTATCATTATCACTAGTGATGTCTGTTTGATGCACAGTGTATTTTGTTACATGTGTAATGTACAATGTAGAATATTAGGGCACCTCCACTATGTTTGGTACATTTTAAAAAGACGAGTAGTTATAATGAAAATAATAAAATATCGTATGAAATAAGTTTCAAAGGCTTTTATGAATTTTCAAGATGAATTTGTGTGCAAAATCGTGTAAAAATTATTCAAAGTAAAATCACGTAAGACACTGCTAAAGTAGGATACGTGTAAAAAATGTTTAATTCTAAATTATCGAAGAATTTGCCTAAAGGAATCAAACCAAACATTGTCTAAACAAAATTGTAACGAAGAAAATGTTTCTAAGCAAAATAATTCTAAAATATTGCCGAAAAGTTATAAAAATTGCTTAAAATTATTTTTAAAGTCTTTCAAAAAACTGTCTAAATAACAGTATATAAAAAAACAGCCAGAGCAATTATTTAAAAAATTATCCAAACAGAATCACATAAAAAATGATCTTTAAAAAATCATCAAAACAAATTGTTTAAATAAAATCGAGTAAAGAAAGTCGTTCAAGAAATGAAAGAAAACATTAGAACCCAATTAAAACGATCCAAGATATGCATTTAGGATTCTCTAAAAGATTCCCTCGAATTATGTTAAGAAGCGTAATATCCTACGACAGGATCTCGTCGTATTCCTGTTCGGAGGATATTCTTGCCGACTTGTCCTTGACGATGAAATACCTTATCCGTTCGAGTGAGTCAGGATACTAGGTCTGTCGTCATCGGTTGGAAGGCGAGTCCTGTATCCAGTATCAGGCTCGCCTTGAACCTTCGGACGCGGAATTCGATCGCGAAGAAACCGTAGGAATTCACTGTCCAATCCTCCATGAAGGATCACCTCCTGGTTCGCGTAAATCGCGGATCATACCGTTAACTCTGTTGGCCTTCGGTCTACTTTTACGTATCACGGAATCAATCACGGTCCAGTACAATCGACAGAAGCTGTTTGTACAATATTTCACTGGTATGGCTAATCGAAATCGCGAATTTCTTCGAGGAAAAGTTTATTCTCGACGATGACGCGATGTTTTCGCTGCACAAGGATACTTTTTTTCGACGAATTTTAAACGCATTCTAAAGGACGTGTCAAACATCTAAATTTTTAAGGATATTTTGCACGAAGCTTAAGAGTTTTTAAACGTGAATAGAACGACGACAGATGAATATTTACGTGAAGTTCAAGAGAAGAAGAAGAAGATTTTTTTAAATATTCCACTTTTTAAATATATCAATTGCATAGAAAAATGGCTGATGAATATTTAGGAATATTACAACGGTGAAAGAGAAGATTTGTATGTTATAATTGAAGAATTACCTTACGACATCGCGACAGTCTCCTTCGACGCTCAACCGGAAGTACTCGTCTCCCGGTCTGTCCTGGCACAGTTCCTCTGCGTTTGCATCGAGCCCATCTGAACCTTCGTCATCTTGTGCTCTCACCAGTGTTCCTGTAAATTCGAGAACAATATTACATCAAGAATTCCTCTTAATTAATTTAGTTACAGGTGTAACACTCAACAGAGAAATACTTGTTATCCAAGATAAAAACGATCCTGGAAAGTAAAGAGACACCGCGCCCCACTTCTACAGTTTCTCTCCACCAGTGACAATTACGTACTTTCTATCATCGATTACATAAACGACTCTCAAACTACGAGCACATTCTCCAACCTGACCTCATGAAC